ACTGCTGGTTCCTTGCCTCTCAGGTAGATGCACTCCGACTTTGAAGGAAGCTCCCAGTTAGTCGACTCTTACGGCATGCTTTTAGGTGGGCAGTGGGTCTATTTTTATTTTCCCTCTAACAGGGCCCCGGGACCCACACGGGGATCAACCGGTCTTTATCTCCAGGCGCTCTCCCTCTCTCTCCCTTTCCTACCCCCTCTCTCGCCTCCCCCCCCCCCTCCCCGCCTCCCCTAGTCATGGTGTCAACTTTATCAGAAGTACACGGTTCGTCATTTTCCCCTGGCATGCTGACTGCCAAGTTAAACATGTTTTATAAACCACCAGTCTACCCCGTTAATCATGTAATTATAAAACACTCGTGTCTTTCGTTTCACTACTTTTGTGATGTATCCTAGAAGTATTTGCTGATCATTAATTCCATCCTTGTGTAATTATGCAACAATACATCTTTGAGCCATTGTACAGCAGACTTTGTAATTAAAGTGTGTGTGCCCTTTTATTCACTGTTATGGCTCCACACACAGACACGCACACACACACATCTATGTGATGTGGTCAACAGCATAGTGGCTGCCATTACATCACAAGCTAATACTTGATACCCATATACACATTATCGACCTTTATATGAGCGGTGGATTGACTGAAAATGAAACGACGCTGTCGCTGTGTGCAATCGAACGGCAGCAACCTTCTATCTAGGCCGAACAATAAACAGACGTGAATATTCTGACATATTTACCGCAACACCCGGTGTCAACACGTGAGGCTCATTTGATAGCCTCTCCTCGTTTTCCATGCAACTCCGTGGATCCAATCCAGCATGATTTCCTTCTGTTTAAATAGGTCTCTTTTAATGCTTCCAGTTGTCCTGGTTGTTACAGTGTCTTCAGACCCTCTCTTCTTCCAGTAGAGATCAGAAATGACAATTGTGATAACTATTTGAGAATGTTACCGCCCCCCCCCCCCCGCCCATCCCCCACCGCCGTGTTGTTTCAAACTGTTGGCACCTTTCCGTGTTTCTACACGAGAGTGTTATACTGTGCTGTGGATAGGTATGAAAATGATATTCCTCTTTTCCAGATCACAGAAAGGTACTAAGTAAAATGGGACTATATAGAGATAGCGTTTCTACTGCCCAGTGGTTGAAGGACACTGGTCTAGTTCGCGCATCCTCTCCGTTTCTCTCGTAGAGCGATTTAGCACTTCCTGTATTAGGCGAGCGAACCAATTAAAATGATTTAGTTTTAAAAGTTTTATTGTTTTTTAAATCGCGTGTAGGTTTTGGGCTCGGATTCGGTGGGAGTGGGGGGGGGGGGGGGGGGGGAGAAACAAATCTGCTGCCCCCAACAAGCAGGTTAAAAGTTACTAAATATGGAGTGTTTCCTATGAAATGCATCTGCCTGATGCTGAACACATTATGCGTGGTTTGGTACCAGATACGTTAGTGTGCTTTACAGTTTCATTTTAATGGATGTTTGTACCCCAATTTTAATGACACATAAAATCATCTGAACATACCAGTGACTGCACTTATAAAATAATCTGAACATACCGGTGACTACACTTATAAAATAATCTGAACACACCGGTGACTACACTTATAAAATAATCTGAACATGCCGGTGACTACACTTATAAAATAATCTGAACACACCGGTGACTACACTTATAAAATCATCTGAACATACCAGTGACTGCACTTATAAAATAATCTGAACATACCGGTGACTACACTTATAAAATCATCTGAACATACCGGTGACTACACTTATAAAATAATCTGAACATACCGGTGACTACACTTATAAAATAATCTGAACATACCAGTGACTAAAATTATAAAATAATCTGAACACACCGGTGACTACACTTATAAAATCATCTGAACATACCAGTGACTGCACTTATAAAATAATCTGAACATGCCGGTGACTACACTTATAAAATAATCTGAACACACCGGTGACTACACTTATAAAATAATCTGAACATGCCAGTGACTACACTTATAAAAAATAATCTAAACACACCGGTGACTACACTTATAAAATCTTCTGAACATACCAGTGACTGCACTTATAAAATAATCTGAACATACCGGTGACTACACTTATAAAATAATCTGAACACACCGGTGACTACACTTATAAAATAATCTGAACATGCCGGTGACTACACTTATAAAATAATCTGAACACACCGGTGACTACACTTATAAAATAATTCTGAACATACCAGTGACTGCACTTATAAAATAATCTGAACATACCAGTGACTACACTTATAAAATAATCTGAACATACCGGTGACTACACTTATAAAATAATCTGAACACACCGGTGACTACACTTATAAAATAATCTGAACATGCCGGTGACTACACTTATAAAATAATCTGAATATACCGGTGACTACACTTATAACAAAATCTGAACATACCGGTGACTACACTTATGTCTATGTTTGTCAGTCGTATTTTTTGGTCAAGTTTCAGCAAGAGACAGGCAGGGTTTGTCGCTTATGACCATTTAATTGGAAGAGGCGCTTTCTCTGTGCTCGTGTCTTTGAAAAGCTTGTAGTTTTAATCCCTGGACACTTAGCGCGGAAGACGGAGCACCTGTGGGTATGCCTGTGCGCTTTGATATCGATTCTTTAGTCAGTCAACAAAATGTCCGATTAGCAGTCTTTCTCTCTCTCCCCCTTCCCATTAACGCATGCTTTTTTCCCCGCAGTGACCATAGAACGGACCTTTGCAGTTTCGCCTTTCCCTTCTCAAAATGTGCCAATATTTAAAAGATGTTTGAAGTGCACACACAAAAATTGTAGTTTCTACCAGCAAGGGTTCTACTCAAAACTGTCATCTGCTAAGTATGTTGTCTTACCTGACTAAGGCTTCAAGCAAAACTGTTGTCCAGCACAACGGTAACGGCCCTCTAGGAAAGTGTTCCTAAACTTTTTGCAAAGTTTAATCCTTTCTTTCTCAAAATGGACCAGTATTTAAAATATGTATATAATGCACAAGAATGATTGTAGTTTGTACCACCATTTTTCTACACAAACTATCATCTGCTATGTTTTTTGTCTTACCTGAATGTTACAGCTTCAGAAGTAACTGTGTTGTCCAGCACATTCGATATGAGTCATCTAGGGCAGCGATTCTCAAACTTTTTTCACCGCGGCACCCTTATCAGGCAATTTTTTGTTTTTTCACGGCGCACCTACCCTCGGAGCGGTTTGAATACTTAAAAAAAAAGAAGAAAAAAAAGAAGAAACAAACGGTATACATTTAATGTTCAGTTGCCTTTAATGCGATGAATGAAACTGTTTGGATAAATGTTTCATCATTTACTTTATGTTTATGGGAAGCCTAGTTAATTATACCCTCAAATCACTTGAATCAGAACGTTTGTTTCTGCATCTGGTTTTTATTTTAATTTTATGTAAGCTTACCTTGAAAATACACTGCAGCCCTGCCAGAAGCATTGTTTTCTGAACACACCTGCATCCAGAACTCTTCTGGGCTTCCTTCACGGTATCTCTGTTTTCAACTGCTGTCTTCGCTGATCTCAAGCAGGTTAAACAAATCTTGATTATCGCCGCGGCACCCAGTTTGAGAACCACTGCTCTAGGGCATTGCTGACTGAATGGTTTATGTTTACCAAAGAGCTGCCTTTATCATTACCTGTGCCTTTGTTTTGTTTTCATGTCTTAATATACACTTGTACTTTTCCCATGCCTTTCTAACACATTGTAATAGTAAATGTATTGTATGATGTGTATATGGGCCACTTGAAATAGATCCATCAAGTCCCTTATGGGTGATGCTTTTCTATTGCAATGTTTATTGTGGTGCCAAGATGTACTCATTGAGACAGCAAGTGAGATCTGTCTACAAACAAGCGAAATCATGGGTTTGTAGCTTACATATTCACCCTACCAGACCTAAGGCCCTGAACCTAACTGTCCCTATAACCTGAGCTCCTGGGCATTACCGCGAAAAAACCAACATGATATACAAAAATATTAGTTACATGCAAACGAGTGGCTAGAATATGATGAAACTTGGAGACATTGTAGAAAATAGGCTTACCTTTTATCTAGCGCCAAAATTCCACCTTTGTGTGCTAATTCACTCATCAGGATCAGCTTTGTTTCACAAAGTGAACACCAGATTTTTGCCGTTTGATGGACACACCCCCTCCTCCTACTATCGATCTATTTCAAGATTGATAATTTTCAAGATTTTCCTCATCATTTGCGCTCTCACTGACAGTGTCATTTCAAGAACGTATTCTTTATGAAATTATCACAGATAATGAATATATAAATATATATCACAGAGTCGAAATAAACCAAAGTATCGATCACCTGTTTGACTGAAAAGCCTAGAACTTGGTTCATCAGCCGCTTGCTTCATTCTGAAATTTTCCGAATTTTTTCACGTTAAAACACAAAAAATTGATTCACACACACGGAGAAGCCATTTGCAATCTCTAACAAAGCGGACTGACGACGATTGGTTGGTTATTTTTAGTCAGTGACGCATCTTTCTCACGCACTATGCAAATAGCCGAAATTTAGGGCTAGCGGTATACAGAACAGTTATGAAATTCCCGGATAAAAGGGAGAGCTGGCTGGTAGGGTTCAGACTGCAAAATGGTGATTTTCCCCATAGATTTTAATCGTTCGCCCAGCTATTTTTAGAACTCCTAATTGATTTATTGGGGAAAAGGGTAAAAATATACTAGTTTTTTAAATGAATGCCGAACACTCCTTTCCCTAATTTGGTAAAGCTATATGTGTGTGTGTGTGTGTTTGAACCACTGCAAAATACAAAAATGAAAATTGATTTACGTTAATACTTTACCTAATCGTTTTTGAAGTTATGTGTCGTTTTAATTGCCCTTTGTGGTGCACTTTTTAGCGTATTCTGTCCATTTTAACCTGAAAATTTTTCTTTCTACTCAATGGCTTCTTTTTCAGCTGTAAGAACCCAGATATTCAAGAGTGCAGCCCAGAGGACATCCCATTTCACAGAGCAGTCAGACGGAGGCCGAGGTTACACATGTGATAACTGCGGCAAGTCCTACACCTTGTCGCACGTCTTGTCGCGTCATCGCTGGAAGTGCCAGGGACTGCGCGTGATAAACTGTAACGTATGCCAAGCTAGTTTTTATCGAATGGACCACCTGAAGAAACACATGCTTCGACACAGGGTCATCTAGTTGTTGTTTGTGTGTGTGTGTGTGTGCTGTTTACTGTTGCTGCTATACCCAAACATTCCCAACAGGCTCTGACGATGTTTCACGGTTGCTATAATCGGTGATGTATAGTTCTGTGTAAGTGGGCTGATCAGAGGCGTAACTGGTGAGTCTTTATTCAGAAAAAACTGTACTCAGAGAATATTAAAGATACATTTTATTTTACCGGTGTTGAGTTAGTTTTGTTTCCACAAATTAGTTTTGTTTTCACACATTTCCATTCAGCTACCACCAACATCAGTTATAAAAATCTTTCTTATACATGCGTATCCTATGTTTATTCGTTACATGTTGCGCCACACCCCCTCCCCCCAACCCAAACTGGGCTCCTTCCCATGTGGGTTCGGGGGTCCCATTGTGTAGAAAACAAAAATAGACTCACTGCCTGCCCAAAATCATGTCGTAGGAGTCGACTAAATGGGAGCTTCCTTTGATGTTGGAGTACATCTGCCTGAGAGGCAAGGAACCAACACTCTGCATGAAAATTAGTCAGACCTGTGAAACAGATGTGCACACAACACTCAGTTTTTGGAACAGGACTAGAGTCCAGAAGTGGACAAACAACAAGAACTTTCCGCCGGAGTTTAAAGCCTGTGAACGCGAAAAAGAAGATGTACAACAATCCTTCCCGTGTGTTAGTGTGTGTACTGGGGTCCCTTGATAGAGAAACAGTCGCAAAAATCTGGCGAGAAGTGGGCGAACAACCAGACCTTTCCTCCGAAGTTTACAGGCTGTTAACGCAAAGAAGAAGAACAATTCCAACTCGGGTGGTGGTGGAAAAGGGGGGGGGGGGGGGGTATATGTACAGGGTAAGAGGAACAGGAGACGACCAGCGAAGGGGGGCACTTAACGGCACCATGGACATAAAATTGCATGAAGTGGAATAACTGGCATGGGACCGAGTTTCGTTCAGGCGGGCTGTGATGGGAGCGACGTTCTGTAAAGGACCTATTAGATGCTGATGTCGCCTCTGAGACAACTTTACTTGGACAGTTACCGTGGTGTTCTTTACTTATGCGTCACAGGTCGACCCAGCCTAAAATAGGTACCAGGATCCTTGTCATGGGGAAGTAAAGACAACCGGGGTACTGCCGACCAGATTACTCACCTAGTGCCGATGGTTTGTAAAAATATGGGCGCTCTTTGCATATACCCGGTACGCCTAAAGGCATGAAAATGGATCTTTACTTTACTTTCTTCTTCACTTGAAAGCTGCGAGTGTTTCCTCCCTAGTACTGCCGCTGACAGTAAGAGTTTCCATCTGTAATGGAAATGTTGATGGCACAGCAGACGAAGTTCAGGCGAAAAGCCATTCCTCCCCTTTCAATACTTACTCTGTCATTAAAATGGTGCATAAATCTTGGAAATTTGCGAAGAGAATGTAGTTTGTGAGGAAAATGCAAAGAATACTATGGATGAACAAAAAAATAAAGAATGAGATAGCCCACCGAGAAACCTGACAGCTTAAAATTAGACGTAGGCGGTCAGAACGGTTTGGACAAGTCAGCTTACACCAAGTGACAACTGGCAAATACTATGGGTGCAAAGGAAGAGGAACACTACGGTATAATATACCTGCATGGCTTGGTGTCAGATAATATGCTGTGTGGCATATACATACAACTATGTAAAAACAACAGAAATAACTTCTATACATAGTTGGGGGAAGGGGGGATGTCTCCTTACATATATTCTGGAAAGAAACGGGACGGTCAAAGGACTTAAGTTCCCAGGTTGTGACGCCCCTAAATCCAGCCATGTATCCAGTTTGGGGGCGGCAGGAGAGAAGCTTCTGGTCTGTTTAATTCATCGTACACGCACTGAAAGATTGGGAGAGTCAATGTGTCTAGACATAGGCTATTATAGTAATGGACTCTTTTCCAGGCGTTTAGAAGTATTGGGCATATAGGGCTAGACCTATATTTATCGACCAATCGGCACTTGCTGGGCGGTGTCAGTATCTCGCCGCCCACCTTTACTTCATAGGACTTAGTTGAAACACATTTTAGGCTAGGTCGATCTGAGAGCCAAGACCGTTTCTGACGGAAAAAAGTCCTGCTCCATAAGGATCTAAACCTACGACCTTCGGTTGCGCAAGCAAGCGTCTAGCCGCTATACAACGGCGGCTCCCTCATGCTATTGTTAGACCTGTCTATACAACAGCAGAAGTGTGTCGGTGAGGTTTTCCATTCTTAGCGTTCACTGGCTGTAAAATCTGGTGGAAAGTTCTAGTTGTTCGTCCACTTCTGAACTTTGGTTTTGTTCCAAAGCTATATTCTTCTTCTTCTTCTTCTCCTTACCATAAAAGGACGAATGACACGTTGGGTCGTTTACATAAAGTCTGTGATATCTGCGTGTTTCGGTCGAACACATCCGATTTCAGCAAATCCTTAATTAGTAGCCTTTTACGACATGCTTGTTAAGACGCTTTGGGTCTGTTTTTATTTTCCCCTAAAAAAGGACCCGGTACCCACACGGGAGAAAACCACATAAACACGTGTACCCGAGATGGTTGCCCAGATTACACTAATAGAATGGTATGTGTTACGATCACACACACAAAAATGTTATTTGAAATGGTTTTATACTGTTAATGAAACCTGCTTGATCCTAGCAATGACCAGTGTATCAGTCAAACCGGCATCCTCCTGCCTTACAAAGTATTGACATTTATCACACAAAACACATCTTGATCAAAAACTCATTTCTGACTTCATTGCTTTATCTGACCAATAATAATAACTCCACAAGCGAGCATGCAAAACACATCTTGATTAAAAACTCATTTCTGACTTCATTGCTTTATCTGACCAATAATATAAGAACTCCACAAGCTAGCATGCACAGCAGGGGTTCAACGATCATCAGTAAAAAGGCCCTTCGTCGACGATTGTTTCGACCCATTACTTCCGGTACACTGTATAGCCTCGTAAGGTGGACCGACCTGGTTCATGACGCCAGGCCTCGATGACTGACTGACTGACATTCTACCCCACCAGGACATCACACAAGCGATAAACACTCGATGACACAATGTGCCACCATGCGGGTGAGGATCACCGTGGAGAGGTCCCAGAAACCGCGTTCAGCCTTTAGGCCATATTTATGGCCAGGCTATATTGCGGCCCCTGGAAAGAGAGTAGGGCTTCAAATAACGAAAAATTTCAGGCCTCAATCTTCCCCTGCTCCACTTTATCACTTTCGGACAGGAACCAGACGAAATGTTGACTTTTCAACCGACATAGTGAGATTTGGTGTTATATATAATGTCGCTGCGGCAGCAAATTAGCCATCTACCTTCATGACCAATGTGACAAGATTACGGTTAGTTCATCGGACAGGTGTTATACTTTGGCAATTGGCAGAGAGATACTGCGGCGTCCTTGGCTTAGGCGTTGAGAGTCCGATTCCTAATTTAAACTACCCCGATCGCAACCCACTGCTGGCTGCGTGGGCTTTTATCATGATAAGGGGCGTCGCAAGTCGACCCAGCCTAGAGTGGGTACTTGGATGTCTGTTCTGTGGAAGTAAAGACGGCCGGCGTAATGCTGACCACATTACCCACCTAGTGCCAGTGGTCTGTAAAAATATGCGATGCTCTTCCCATATGCCTAAGGCGTAAAGAGTGATCTTTACTTACTTGAGAGACACTGGCAGACATTAAATACACAGTGGAAAGGCAAGACTGATATACAATCATACTGCTACTGGTACCTTCCTCACTGAAACTCTTGCTAGGCTGCTGAAGACGGTGACATAACGCTTACGAAAATGTCCAGAATGATAGGATTCAGTCCTTAACCTAACTTACTAACTAATCTTTGGTTTCATCGGAAACGTAACAGTAGAAGAATGTATTTTACGCTGAAACATGATACAGGCTGGGATGCTCAGCATTTGAACAACACGTAGACCACATTATAACCAAAGCCAAGAAAGGTCTCTTCGCAATAAAAGTTATAGGAGCTGCAAACTTTGAGCAAGGCTACTTGTAATGTTGTATCGTGCATTAGTTCTCTCCACCATTGAATATACCTTGGCCATCATGACAGTCAGCACCACACAGATGAACAGACGGGGAAAAAAATTGGACAGAAGTGATGTTATCAATGTCATGAGCTGCACTTACCGTACCGAGGAGCACGCCAAAGGACATGACTCCGTATCCCTGTCTAGACTGATGGACATGGGGGCGCAGCCTGGAGCTGCAAGAAATGAACATTTCACTACGGGGACAAGACGTTTCATAAACCAACACAGAACAGGTGTCATCAGTCGTTTAACACTTGTGGAGCTTTTGAGGAGGAGATCGGAGCACCTATGGATCTGTCCGAAGTGCTGTGATGGTAATCCTTTCTAATCACTAATCACAGGTTAAGAATCGCCATGTTCAACATCTTTCAGGCTGCCGCTGGCGTCATCGTAATAACCTTTTTTCTAACTATACTATGGAAAGGGGTGGGGAAAGGACTAGGTAGTGGTAAGAGCCTTGTGTGAACTTGAGGCAATGATTACGGCGGCGGTGGAGACAAAGACGAAGTAGAGGATAGGAGAATACCATTTTCCTTCACTACCCCTGGGAACGGCCGGCAATAGCATATTGGTTAGACAAGTGTTTTCCACTGTATGTGCTACAATCCCATTGGGGGGGGGGGGGGGTGATGAGCGGTATTGGCAGCACCCCCCACCCCCTTTCCCAGTTTGACTGATGAAAGTACCTACCATCTCTAACGTCCCAGGACCTCCATGCGGCAGCGGTGACGACAGTTGAACTGGAGAACGAGACAAAACAATTTTCTTTTACTATCCCCGACGGAGTCCGGCAATTAAATATAACAGAAATATAAGCAAGGCGACGTGATGCTAACTACATCACCCAACCAGTGTTGTCTGGTCTAGCCAAGGCCGTCTCCAGCCTAGAGAAGGCCTTCATCTAGCCATATACGCCTAAAAGCATGGAAACG